GATCTTGTCTCACTTATAAACCACTCACTGGGAAAACTTATTAGCTTTCTTGTGTTTAATGGATACTTACTGAATGCCAGACCCTTTCCTCAGGATTCTCTTGTTGAATCCTTACAACTCTGTAAGGTAGGAACTACTTTGCTACTTCAGACTTGAGACAAGTGAGACATGGTAAGATTCAGGAACAGTCACTCTTCACCTGGTTAAGAAGTGGCAGAGTTGAAATTGAAACCAGGAAATGTCTAAAAAGCCCACACTCTGTTCTTCTGCCTCTCAGGATAGATTGACAGTGATTGCAGGCTGACTGAAACAAACAAACAAACAAATAAATATTTTTGGGGGGGAGGGCGGTCCAGTCATGGGGCCTGAACTCTGGGCCTGGGCACTGTCCCTTAGCTCTTCAGCTCAAGGCTAGCGTTCTACCACTTGAGCCACAGCGCCACTTCCGGCTTTTTTTCTTTTTGCTTAATGGTGCTAGGGAATTGAACCCAGAGACTCATGCATGCAAGGTACCACTGAGCCACCTTCCCAGCCCCAAATCTATATTTTTATACAGTTTAGTTCTGTGTTTTTCTGCCTTAGAATACAGGTAAGAAAACAGCATTTTTACACATATCTTTTAGGTCTAGAACATAAAATACACTGTATTCTGCCATGATTCTAGTCTAGGCAAACTGGAATTATGTAATTATATAGTCCTGGGCAAGGTATTTAACCTGGCTTTTGGATATTTCTGCAATAAATTTTAAAATTTCCCAGTAAACTCTTACTCTGTACTGAGAGTCAAGATTGATGCCAGTGTCTTTGTTCAGTTATCTAGAACCTATTATCCCAAAGGAAAAAAGAAAGAGGGGGGGGATATAATTCATAATAGAGCACTTACTTGTTTGGCATGTGTAAGACCTAGGGTTGAATCCCCAGCATTGCCAAAGAGGAAAAAGAAAAATGGAAAGAATCTAAGAAAGTATAGATAGTAAATGTTCTCTTGTGCCTGTCTTTTCAAGTATTTAAAAATGTATACTGGTCTACTAGCTTTTGGCATTTTAAAGTGTATTATGGTGTGTGTGCTCAGTTTTAAGGGCTGGGACTATTTCCAGGAAGTCTGTGCGAGTCACAAACCAAATGGAACACTCAAGGATTAAGCACTAAAAATATCTCACAAAAATGCTTCCTCAGTGCACTCTTTGGAACAGGTAATTACTGTGGCAACAACAAACTAATTTGAAGTGTTAGCTGTTAATTAAAACATTGTATAGTTGTCTTTTGGTGTAACCAGAGTCTCCATTCAAACTTCATTAATCACTTTACAGTTAATGTGTTGAGGAAGGTCAAGACATTTGAGACACACTCTCCAATTGAGACGCAGTATCCCTTGAAAGTAAACAAATTCCTTTTCTGCAGGTAGAATGCCATTTGTAAAGTGCAAGGCCATACTGGGTCCTGGCATTGTCTTTGTTAGCCACCTCTCTTTGATGATTAAATGTTAAATTGGTACTGTCATTGCACTGTAAACCAAGCCCCACAGCATCTTTATTGCCCGAAATCGAACCCAAACTTCCACGGATGAATTATCGTGCATCATAATTAAATCATCAAGTCTCCCCTTTTAATTCACTTGGAAATAGGAGACCTTTCTTTTGGAAAAGAGATCTGCTTTCTTGACAAGCTAATTAACTTGCCAAGCTGTCCAGTATGGTCTATGTATTAGACTATCTGCTTATCATTTGGTTATCATTGCATCTGGGCTCAGAAGTCCAGGTGTTGCTTATTGTTCCTGGTATAAATGCTGCTCTTTTTTTTTTTTTTGCAACTTTCAAATCTTTACATATTTATACAACTATTTGAAAAAAAATCTGTGGTATAAAGGAAAAAGAATAATTATTAAGTCATATATTACTTTGTATTTACATGGAACAAAATAAAATTTTTAATTCATGTTTTAAACTAGCATAGTCCAACAAATTCTCAGCAGGTATTAAGAAAAAATATGTATATATCTTTATATGTCATCATATTTTGTGTATATCTTGAATTAATTTGTGACCTGAATGTTGCTTTGTGTTGTAAAAGTCTGATATTACATAGATTGTAGTTCGTTCTAAAATCAGTGTAGTGTAGGAGTTGTATTTATGAAATGTCATCCACAAAAAATGAAAAAAATAGTTTTATAAATAATATTTACATATACTAACGAGGTAGATAGTTTGTGGTTTTACATGCTTTTATCTTTAGATAAAATAATGCCTTGGTAAAGTGAACAATTGTCCCCTAAAAAATATATTTATATGTATATATAACATTTATTTAATCAGCACTAGGGCTTGAACTCAGGGCTTCTCTCACTCAGCATTTTTTCTCAAGGCTGATCTTCTGCCACATGAGCCCAGCTTTACTTTTGGCTTTTTGCTGGTTAGTTGGAGAGAAGAGTCTTTTGGGTTTGTCTGCCTGGGCTGGCTTTGAACTGCAATCTTCAGATCTCAACCATCAGTGTAAGCTACCAGTGCCCAACTGTCACCTAATCTTTATAGTTTGCTTTTCCTTTCAATGAATAAAGCCTGAATTTCTATACAATTAATTAATATAATAGAAACTAAGCTTACCTTCTATAATTGCCTTGACCTTTGTCCACTCAAGTAGGAAGAGAAGAATAAATTATTATTATTTTATAAGTTATAAATGATAATAAAAATGGGAAAACATATACATGTGTGGGAGCATGCTTTCCTAGTTTCCTTTGTATACTATTAATAGCTACATTGTTTCTGTAGGATGGGAAGGGATGGGAAGGGGAAACAAAGGAGGAGGCAACAATGCTTGATAAGAAATGTACTCATTACCTTACCTTGCCCATGTAACCCCCTCTGTATGGTATTTTCACAATAAAAAAGAAAATAAAAATTGTTGGTGATTTCTCAACTCTAAATGTGCTAAAATGTCATTGAGTCATACCCTTAAAACAAATAAACGTTATATGTAAAGTAAATCTCAGTAAAGCTGTTCAGAGTTTAAAAGAACCAAAAATTTTTGCCACAACAGGAGAAGATGATCTTCTCATTTTAGTAATAATAGAATGTATGTACTACCTTTACTTTTGTTCTAAGAAATGAGTGACTTTTGATCCTTGTAAATACATTTTGAAACTAGGCAAGTGAGAAATTTCTGGAGTGCTGACTTTTGTTCCTTTATATCCTCCTTAACCTGCTCACATCTCCTTTTGTGAGTACCTTTTTTTTTTTTTTGGGTCCGGTCATGGGGGCTGAACTCTGGGCCTGGGTGCTGTCCCTCAGCTCTTCAGCTCAAGGCTAGCACTCTACCACTTGAGTCACAGTACCACTTTCCGGCTACTTTCTTTTTGCCTATGTGGTGCTGAGGAATCGAACCCAGGGCTTCAGGCATGCAAGGCAAGCGCTCTACCACTGAGCCACCTTCCCAGCCTTGTAGGTACCTTTATAGAGCAAATTCAGTTCTTTCAAACTATTTTTTTTGTATTTATATTTTTATAGGCTTGCAATTATATTGATTGTTTCTGTTATATGGATTGTTTTGAAGTTGTTATACAAGATTTTGTTTCTGGATAATGGTCAGACTGTATAGTTCCTACAGAGTATGCATAAAAGGCCACATTTCATCCAAAAACATGCTATTTATATCTGTATACCTTGTTCTTTTACTTTTTCATGAATGTATTCCTCTTCTCTCTCTGCTTCTGTCTCCCCTTCCCTTTTTTCCTCCTCTACCTTTCATTGCTAGAGATCTAATTCAGTGCCTATGCATGCTAAGTCAGGCATGTTCTCTATTATGGAACCTATACATATCAGTTGATTTAAGTAATTTTGCTCAGCTGATACTTTGAACTTGCCTCTTTATTTAAAGTCACATGCTTGAACCTTGTAAGTATGATTTTTTTTATATGACATTATATTATAAGACTAGTAGAGTGGTTCAAGTGGTACTGCCTCACAAGGGTGAGGTCCTGAGTAAGGTCAAACCTCAGTACTGTTATGGCTTAGCTTTGGACTGTTCAGGGGACACCCACACACACCCACACACAGAGTAGTAAGGGATCTGGAGTTAGAAGACTGGAAGGTGAGCTCTGATTCTTCCACTATGCACTTTGCCTAATTAGGCAACCCATTGAACTTTCCTGTGCTTTAGAGTCCTCATCTATAATAATATAGCATTACCTGAGGGTTATTTTAAAATAATATGCAATGACCCACTTTGTAAAATATGGGAATAATGCATGGAATTTACATTGCATAGAAATGTAAATTATTAACTTTGATTTGAGAAACATAGGTCCCATGGTTTCCCTTATTTGTAATAACAGGTATACGTCTAGGATAACCTTACCAGACAAATAGAAAAAGTCAAAAGCTATGCACATATGACCATATAAGATGGTGCTAAGCAAAATGAACCCCAAGATAGAGACACAAGAGGATTTATCTTTGTTGCTGTTATTTTTAATGTACTTATAATGTACTATATGATTTCTTTTGTTTCTTTCACATGCTCTTCCCCCATGGTAGATCCCCTGTTCTTACTGTATTTGATTCTGGTACCCTGCGTCTTGTATATACATTTTTCTAATTTGGTGAGGGGAAGGGAAATAATAAAATGCTGAAACAAGGATACAGGTTTGACCCATTGTAACAATGAGATGTACAAGATACTATGTTAAAAATGAACTCTACAACTTTGAGAGGGGAGGGGAAAGGTGGATATGGGGAGGTGGGGAGGGAAAGGATGGCTGGGGAAAAACAAAGGAGGGGGTTAACAATGCTCAAGAGGAAATGTACTCATTACCTTACTCATGTAACTGCAACCCCTCTGTACAGTATCTTTACAATAAAAATACAATAAAATTAAAAAAAACAGTTTTCTTTGAAAGAACCATCTATGTCTTCTATCCTGAAGAAATATTTAGTTGACAGCTTCTTAACTATTTTACAGTTTGTTTAATGATCTCAAGTAACTTTTTTTTCCCCTTTCTATAGAGCCTATCATGTCCCGAGTGGGAAAATATTAGCTGTAAAGGTAAGCACTTAATACAGTTTATGAAATTTCTGATGCTCACTGTTTTCTTCTGTATCAAAGAGTTGATGGCATAGTTTAAAGTTCAGATGGTAGGTCAAGTAAGCTGTAGCCCTGTGGTGATACAGAGGAGCCTGTACATATTTTCAGTGTATTACTAGTGTCCACTTGTAAGCCACACACATTGTAGCTCTTCTAATTGAAAAGACAAAACTTTTTGTGGTCTATGTGGAGTGGCAGAGACTTGATCATGAAGCACAAAAATCTTAGTAGTCATGTTTTCCTTATCTCTCCTTTATCTATCACAGCCTGTAAATCTTCATATCCTATTAGAATATTTTCCCAAAGTACCTCCATTTTTCATTTGCTATTTTTATCCCCATGGCCATGGCCTTGAATCTAGTTCCTAGTACCTCCCACCTGGACTTATAAAATAATTTTCTTACTGTACTTTCTGTCTTTTTCTTCTGTGAAATATTTACTCTGCCACAGAATAGAGAAGTCAGATCATACATCTGACACTGAAATTGTCTTCTGTCAACTTTGTCCTCAGCTGTATACATTAAAAAAGCCAAAGAAGTTAGGCCTCATGCTTATAATCCTAACTACTCAGGAGACTGAGATCTGAGAATTGAGGTTCCAAGCCAGCCCAGGGAAAGAAAAGTCTGAGGCTCTTACCTTCAATTAACCACAAAAAGCTGGAAGTGGAGCTTTGGCCTAAGTGGTAGTCTTGAGAAACAAAGCTTAGCAACAGTGCCCAGGATAATAGTGCCCCCCCCACTAAAAAAAAGCCCAAAATGTCTACTTATGAAATAATAGGCACCATGTTTAGCAACATAGTCTGCAGGTGTTGTAAGGAGTTGTATAAAATTCTCCTCACTTGTAGCCATGTTGTTTATAACATGTGACAAAATTCAGGATCCCTGCCCTGTCATATCACTTTGAATTTAATCCTTGCTGCTGGCTGTTGGTGCTTGATATCCGCCATCATTTTAAATTTCAAGTTTCCCTAATAGATTGTTCTGAATCCCACCTCTGACTCAGTCTTTGACAACCTTTCAGTGCTAACTCCACAGAACTAGTGCTTTCAACACTACATTCTTAGCTAACAAACTGGTCAGGCCCTCTCTGATTAGCTTCTACCTGTCATTGCAGACTGAATTACCAGTCTGTGACTTCCTGATATCCCTTATCTCCAGTTTTTGGGTCTTTTATTTATTTATTTTGAGTGATAGCCTCTATCTCTGTCTGTCTGTCTGTCTGTCTGTCTGTCTGTCTATCTACCTACCTACCTACCTATCTATCTACCTACCTACCTACCTACCTACCTACCTATCTCTATTATCTCTCTCTCTCTCTCTCTATTGGAGTGACTAGGTTTTGCCAGGTATTATGCTAGCTGTTGTATAACTGTCTTTAATCCTTAAAACTACAAAGAATTCTGTTTTAGATTCAAAGAAACTAATACTCAGAAGGCTGAAATATTCAAGGCCAGAGAGTTAGAAAGAAGTAAGGCTAATTTTTAAAACAAAGTCTATCGAACTCTGTGTGAAGCCTTTACATATTACCACCTTTGCTTTTAAGATTGATCTCAAAGTTGCCTTTGTAACATGTCCACATCAGAAATTGGTCTTTTTCCTAATATGTAGTTTATAGTCTCGGCATCTTTTATCTTCAGGAAACTTAAAAATCAGAGCAGTTAGGTTGTGATTGATTGTAAAGGTAAGGATGAGACCTGGTTGCAGTCTAGAGTTCTTTTCCATATCACACCTCATATAGAACATACTATATGTCTTCTTGAGGTCTGATTTTAATAACTTAGGTAACTTGTGATGAGGAGGAACAACAGAACTCTCCCTTGGGATGCTTTCTTTGATACTGCAGCCAAGCTAGGTTCACAGAAGTATAAGCTTGCAAAAGACTCCTTGGAGGTCATTTGCTATAGCCCCCACACTTCACAGAAGAGCAAACAGAATTCCCAAGGATGGCATTGTGGGGACCACACTGTCTGACCCAGTGAGCCTCTGTTGTACCATTTTGGCACTGGATTATCTTTTTTGTACCGCCCAAGCTCCCTTTTTGGTAATAGAATGCACTCACCTGCTTGAGCACCATTTTTCTACCAGTTCATTTATTTGTTCCTTTAATATGTCAGAAGTCTTAGCATACAAAGTGCTGGTGGCTCATACTTGTTATCCTAGCTACTCAGGAGGCCAAGGTCAGGGGATCACAGTTCAAAGCCACTCTAGACAGGAAAGTCTGTGAGACTCTTACCTCCAATTAACTGTCAGAAAACTGAAAATAGAGCTGTGGTTCAAAGTGGTAGAGCACTAATCTTGAGCAAAAAAGCTCAGAGACAGTGCCCAGGCCCTGAGTTCAAGCCCCCCCAACTGACCAAAAACAAAAACAAAAAAAAGTCTTAGCATGATGCTGATGCATCAAATTCAGATTATTATCCTGAGACACAGAAGCACTGCCATAAATCACCCCCAAACCTGTCATTATTTGGCCTTATAATTTTTCTTCTTATATTCTGAATTATATTTAATATAGGCTAACATTAAAATTTTGGGCACAGTTACTTAGTTGGAATGGCAAGAGGCCAACCGCTGGTTCTGGATGGGAATAAAGTTTTTTAATTTGTTTGATGATGTTAGAGTTTGAACTCAGCATCTGGTGCTTGTTGCTAGGTAGGAATTCTACACTTTGGTCACATCCCTGGTCCATTTTTGCTTTGAGTTATTTTTCAGATAAGGCCTCACTTTCCCAACCCCTACCCCTCCAGGACTGCTCTTGGACCAGGATCCTCCTGTGTACACCCCAGCCTCTTGTGTAGCTGAGATTACTGTAAGGATGCTCCACATACCTGGCTTGTTTGTTGGTTTTGCTAATGTTTTCCCTAGGCTAACATTGAACCTGAACATTTTGATCTCTGTGTCCTGAATAGCTGAGATTATAGTAGTGATCCTTAATGATGACATTTTACAAAGTAGCTGTCAGAGACCTTTAGTAAATGAAAATTATTGGAGTTTACAAATATGTAGTTTAGGGCTGGGAATGTGGCTTATTGATAGAGTGCTTGCCTAGTGTGCATGAAGCCCTGGGTTCGATTCTTCAGCACCACATAAACAGAAAAATCCAGAAGTGGTTCTGTGGCTCAAACTGTAGAATCTTAGCCTTGAGCAAAAGAAGCTTAGGGACAGTGCCCAAGCCCTGAGTTCAAGTCCCAGGACTGGCAAAAAATAAAAAATTTAAAAATAAATAAAGCAAATGTACAGTTTGTTAGACTCAATTGTTAAACTTATCTTTAGAGCAAGGGCTGTATTGTATTCATTTTGCATCCTTAGATTTTATAAAATCATGTACAAAGTACTCAAACTGACCCAAAGAAATGAATGATAGATGATTAGCTATAACTACTGTATTGAAGGTTTTTATTTATCCCCAAGTTTGGTAACCAATGAAAAACCCATGTAGGTTACATAGTAGTTATAATGACTGAAAACATATCATGTTTTCAAAATAGGAAGAGTGTTAATTAATTCTGGGAAGTTTGTTATTTAGTTTCCAAATACTTAGAGATTTTCCAGGTATCTTTCTGTCGTTCTATTGTGGTCAAATAACATTTTTTAATCATTGGGGTATTTTAAATTTGTTTTATTGCTCAAAATATCTAGTTTTGTAAACGTTCCCTATGCACATGAAAAGAATATATAACTATGAATATAGAGGATGTTACATAATCTTCAATTAGATAAAGTTATTCAAATTTGTATCTTTACTAATTTATTTCCCTACTTATATCAATTATTGGAAGAGGGGTATTGAAATCCTAACAATAATTATAGCTTTGTTTATTTTTTCTTATCCTTTTTTTTTTTTTGGTCATGGGCTTGATCTCTGGGCATGGGCACTGTCCCTCAGCTCTTCAGCTCAAGGCGAGTGCTCTACCACTTGAGCCACAGTGCCACTTCCAGTTTTCTGGTAGTTAATCGGAGATAAGAGTCTCATGAACTTTCCTGCCTAGGCTGGCTTGGAACTGTGATTCTCAGATCTCAGCCTCCTGAGTAGTTAGGATTACAGGTGTGAGCCACCGGCACCTGGCTTATTTTTTCTTATTCTTCTGTCATCTTTTATTTCATGTTTGTTGAAGATATGCTATTAGATGTACATATATTGTGTCTCTTTGACAAATTCATGTCTATCATTAAGAAGTAACCTTCTTTATCCATAGCAAGATACTTAGCTCTGAAATTTACAATGTCTGATATTAATACCACCACTCCGGCTATATTTTGACTGGTATTAACCTTTTACTTTCAACCTAGTTTTTCAACCTATTTTTGAAGTGAATTTCTTGTAGATAGCATATACTTATGGTCTTCATTTATAATCTAATCTGATGATCTCTGCTTTTGTGTATCTGTGTACTTTGGCCTGATCACAGATACTGGGCAATGTCCCTTAACTTGTTCAGCTTAAGGATGACACTGAACCTCCACTCTGGCTTTTTAGTTGTTAATTGGAGAGAAGAGTTGCAAAGACTTTCCAGCCCTGGCTGACTTCTAACTATGATCCCCAATTCTCAGCCTCTGGAGTGTCTACAATTGTAGGCGTGAGCTACTAGAGACTAGCTGATCGTTGCTTTTTTTTATTGTGCTGTTAGGATTATTTACATTCCATATGATTATTGATATGGTTGGTTTTAAATTGATCACTTTGCTCCTTGCTCTTTTTTTTTTTTTCCTGCGAGACCTGGGGCTTGAACTCAGGGCATAGTCTCTTTCTCTAAGCCTCTCTGTGCTCAAGGCTAGTACTATACCACTTGAGCCAGCTTTTTCTGAGTAGTTTATTGGAGGTAAGAGTCTCAGGACTTTCCTACCTGGGCTGCTTTGAACCTCAGTCCTCAGATCCCAGCCTCCTGAGTAGTTAGGATTACAGGCATGAGTCACTGGTGCCTGGCTGTTCCTTGCTTTTTATTCTGGCTGGCTTCCTGTTGTCCT